GCTAACTGCGAAATGATTTAGATTGCTCATAAAGAGTCGAAAAGTGTCTATGAAAAGATGGGAATTGAGGATAGGCGTTTGGAATAAGATGAAGACCGTACGGAGTGTTTATGAAATCTGCATCATGAATGTGCAAGAATTGAAGTTGACGGTCATCGTTAACATTAGTGCTGTTAAACGGGACAAAAATTTGTCTCAGTCGTAATCCCAACAGGATAATCAATCCAGTATTTTTGCAATTTCTCACGCTAATATTTACTGAAAAAGCGACAATTTGTTAAAATTAAAAATTCCTTCTAATATGATCACCACAAACTTATAACTCACATACCAAGCGCACACCGCTCCAACGAAAAACACGAACAAATTGCTCCCATATTCTTTGCTGCAGTTCTTCTCATCACTCATTAAGCAGTTACTTTCTGAACTGAATCTATTCAGCATACAATAAAAATTGTTGCATCACTCTTGTATACTTTATTTTTCTGCAACAGCATCAACAGTAAGTGATATAAGATGATAGCAATGCGCCTGATTTCATGAGTCTAGACCTTAATTATGTCGTTTTTCAGAAAAATTCAACTTTTTATAGTTTCATATTAGCGAGATTAGATGATGAAGGGAACACTCGCTTTGAATGTTATGTTATGCACAGAATGTTCCAAAAACTTGCACATATCGCCGTTGATAATCGTAGTAATGATGTGAATAATAATAGTAAAGATTGAAAGAGCTGAACATAACGTTGTTTAACATTACATTGAGTTTCAAAAAAATTGATAATAGCATTGTCAATAATAGTTAGAATGCTATTTGGATGCATCCTATAATAATAATAGTTAGAATGCTATTTGGATGCCTCTATAAATACACGAATTTCTCATTGTGTGTGAAGTGAATCTGAAAAGAAGACTGTCAGTTCATTCAACAATTTGCTCAAACTCAAAATGAACTCTTCGGTTATATTCTTCACTATATTCATCACTTTCCTAGCATCTTCATCCAACAAACGTAATCGTCTCTTTAGATTATTCCTTTTTCATTTCAATCTCACCAAAAGTTCACTTCTATTTGATCTCTAAAAGTTAACTGATCATTAAATACCCATTTTGTGCCGAAATGACCTAGACATGACTACATCTGGATGTATTACCACCAATGACTGTATATGTATTTATCAGATTTGGTTGAGTCAAGGTATGTTTATGGCGGTGGATGGGGTGGTTCAGCAGGAAGCGGTTGGAGCAGTTCTCCGGCTGGTAGTTTCGGAGGATCTTCGGCAAGTGGCTGGGGTGCGGCTCTCACGAATCCTCGTCAAGCACAGCATTCTAGCGCTGGTGGATGGGATGGTTCGTCGAGCAGTGGTTGGAGCAGCTCTCCGGCCGGAAGTTTCGGCGGTTCATCGGCCAGCAGTTTGGGTGCAGCGTTGAACGCACTTCGTCGTGCCCTCTACTTTGCAGCCTAATAGTTGCTGCCAGAAACGAACTTCAATTGCAAACAACACATTCTGTCGAAATAACTCTTCATATGTGTCTTTCAATTATCGCAATTTTGTGCACTGGCTTCCATATAATTCTCTTTTAAAGACTGCTCAACGTGTAAACACCTGTGAACATTTGAGTAATTCAAATAAACTTTTGGAAGTGGTGATTTAAAATACAATATATTATGTATTGAATAGTTGAGGAGCTATAGCTATTTTATTAAAGCAGTGGCATTCAGTGATAGATTATAAATTGATCACTACAGATCAGTTTACACATCACTATAGCAGTATCGAAGTTGCCATCTTCGGGATCACCGTACTCTCAGGTTTGCCCAGGGACACATGAGTTTCTTTACAGCATCCGATCCAGTGGAACGCGAACATTCAGAAAAAACATAATTTTGATGAGTAATTTGTCTTAATTGAAGAGATATAGTTATTTTCTTAATGTTATACACTTTTCCACCTTCAAACCTACCGTACTCTCAAGTTTGCACAGCAACATATCAAGCATTGCACATCATTCGATCCAACAGATATTCTAGATTCAGAAAACAAATATTTTTTCGGGCGATTTTGCTTGGTTGAGGAGATATAGCTATTTTATTAA